CCCCCCACCTTTTCTCTCTCTCTCTCTCTCTCTCTCTCTCTCTCTCTCTCTCTCTCTCTCTCTTTCTCTCCCTGCCATTCGAGGGTTGGGAAGTGCTACCCTGCCCCTCGTAACCACGCCACTGGATCGAGAACCATGCCCATTACGTCCACGGAGCGATTTAATAGCTCCACGCTTATGTATGCTGAATGTAGATGGAAATACATTGGATAAATATAATCATAACATTCAGCGTATGCTCGTGAAAATAGATCGATGAATTGTGGTTTTAATTCTCGATGTATGCTTGTTTATTTTTTGCATGCGGTTTGTCTGCGGGCGTTTTGTGTCGATTTATACAGCATGCGTAGAAATGAAGATGGTATAAAGCTGGCATTTACATGTAAATAGCTATGGATGGAAAGATATATATAGCAACCTATGCTGTAGAAGAACAGGGTATAACCGTGATCCAGATTCTACGTATTGTTTATTACAAGTCTGATCTATACCATTCTGGCATTTATATCATATGTATGAGTATTACACAGTTTTTTTCTTCATATTATCGGTTTATTTATGTTCTATTATTAAATCAATTCTTAAGTTTTAAAAAATTGAGCCTATAATTAATGTGAGCAAAACGGTTTCCCATCTTCAGATGTACATTTAACCAATGAATAATTGAAAATGAAATGAAAGAAAAAGAAAAGTCTTGCGTGAAAAGAAATCATTGAAAGAAAACATTGGGGATAGCAAGTAGCAGATTGGAAAGGCTAAAATGCTGAATCCATTTTCCAGTAAATGCTGGCTCTTTAAGTCATGAAAAGAATTGATCATCTCAAGATCTATTGAATTCCGATATTTATGTAATATAGATACCTTTGAAATGTCCATTAATATACCTATTGTAGACTTATTATATTTTTGATTAAAAAAAAACTTGTATAAAAGGAGATTATTCGGGGGAGGGGCTATTCCATCTTACGATGTCGTTCTCCATTTTATCATATTACTCCGCTCCTTGTACAAATAACAAAGAAGTGGGTCGCTTGACCATCTGACCATACACAGTCAACCTAGATCCACCCCACATCTTGAACTTAAGGAGGGTCACATCGTGGCCATTCAGCCTTGTTGTCTATTTGATTCCTAGCCCTGCGGCGGTGTCACCTATTGTCGCCATCGCCTTAATGAATTTTTGTTTATATTTTCTCAGCGGACACTCGATCTCCGGTTCGGCCACGGCCTCGAGGGTCTTCCGGGATGGGAGTTCATCATGGAAGTCCAGTTTGCCTTCGAGTGGGCAATCGATTATTGACTAACTTCCGACGGGCAAGTCCGAACTTGTCGCGTAGGCCTACACTCACCTGATATTCAATATTATAATATTGTATACAGAGTCATTGTCTTTTGAAAACCAAAATTGAAACTACGATACAACCCGACCTAATTCCAAACAGCGTCGGACGTAGGGGTTGGGTTTGCGGAGGGCAAAACAATATATTTTCAGATATACACAAATTGTGCCCGTTTATTCTGCCCCGGGCAGCAATTTGTTTATTTGTTGATGTTTTTTTGATGGGGGAGGGGGGAGGGGGCTTGTTTTTTTTAGGGGGATTTTTCTTGAATTTCCAAAAATTTGGGAGTACAAATTATCTCAGCAACGTGATTACGAGGGAGATGTTAATATTATGTACGATTAGACCGAAAATTGTACATACACACGGTAAAAAAAGCAATATTCATTATCCAACTTCACCCATTCCAGCAAACTTTTTACTTCAGAAAGATAGACAAGTTTGATATCTATTTAATGTATATTAGTATACATCGGTAATCCTTCTGATAGTTAGACATTATGTGTGACTGTGTATAGGAATGAGTGCAGTAGTGAAACTCGAAGTAAAATATTTTTCCTCCAGGCGAATGTAAATTTCTTGCCCAACTATACCTGGCAGTATGATTGAGTAATTGGAAAACAAATTATACTACTGCTTTGTTTGAGTTGATTTTATGAAGTAGCTGGCCAAATAAAACGTCCAATAACAAGAAAGCACATTTGTGTCACTCGTCATACCCTCCTGATTAATGTAGGCATTATGCATCTATGTTTTAAATCTTCCACCAATATGTTACGATTTTGAACGCCAAGGGCTTTCTCTTGACTCATAAGCCAACGATTTACAGGGTGTTATTTCCAGTGGCGGATCCAGGGGGGGAGGGGGGGCCGGGGGGCAAAATCACGCGATTTTTACCTTTTTGGGGGGTTGGGCCCCCGCCCCCCTGGCGCTCAAGGGGGGGGGGGGGGTGCAAATTTTAAAATTTTCGAGGACCAAAAAATAAAAATTGTGCTCACTACCCCCCCCCCCCCCCCCCCCCACCCCCCCCCCACCCCCCCCCCCCCCCCCCCCCCCCCCCCCCCCCCCTCACTGAGCGACTTTTCGGCCTGCGCGATTTTCAAGTTTTCGGGAGCAAAAAAAAAAAAAAGTTGGGCCCACTCCCCTAAGAAATCCTGGATCTGCACCTGGTTATTTCTATTTTTGTCCATCGTTGGCAATATGTATATAACATTCTTGTTTTATGTTTATTTATTTACTTGTTTTAATGTTTGTAATGTGATAATGATTTTCTCTTCAATTTGTGCTTTGTTTTTATTCCGTTTTGCTGTTTTTATTATTATTATTGTAAGAGGAATCGATGTGTTTTTATCGCAAGGCACTGGCTTTTAAATGCGATTTCTCGGGCACAATTTTATTATACATTATATCTTTGTACTTTATGAAGTAAACAAATTGTATTAAAGAAAAAAACAGAGGGCAATCATGAAATCTCGGGATATATGCTTCCACTCGTGATTATTGATTGCATTCTACTTTGCGGCTTTCAGCGATATTTTTACGGCTATGACTATTTGTTTAATTTTTTGCATAATTCTATTGAATAAATGACTTCATCTGACTTCAATAATGGTCACATATAGGCCGGAAATAGGAAATTTGCCTCAAATTAATTGTAGAAGACTTGTAAAACACTTATACCGGTTTATTTTTAAACTTAAAAAAATCTTTAAAAAAATATAAACATTTAAGGGCCGCTCTAACCCAACTAATATAGCCTTTCAAAACATGAATACACCTCTACTTATTAATAATCCAGCCTCTGATTTTTCAGACAATCTCTAAATTGACCCAAAAATTATAATAGCCATCCATTTTTCACAGTTCTCACGCTTGCTGGGCTATGCCCCTCGAAAAAAGGTAATACGGTCACGTGACTTGATGACGCACTTGACGTCATTGCGGGCATGTCCGATTTGATAATTTGATAATTTCATAATTAGGAATGACGAAATTGCCAGAAACGTACTGGGATTATCAAGCGCATATTATTTTTCGGATACATTTCTTTTTCCCCCAATTAGTTTGCCTTTTAAAAAAAATAAAAAATAAAAAAATAAATAAATAAATAAATAAAAATAAATAAAAAATTAATGCCTAATTCACCCTCCTTGTCACCGGAGAGGCGCCTGCAGTGATGTCAAATGCAGCATCACCGAAACTGGGCATTTTTCTGCGCGTTCTGAGTCGTCATTTTTAAAGCTAGATTCCACAATTATTGATGATTTCTAAGAAAAATCAATGTCATGTTCGGAATCTCCGTCAAAAATTATTCTACATGTCTTTTTCCCCCTTTTTTCAGCTCGTTTTGGTAAGAGTGGCCCTTTAAGGATAATGAACGAAATCCATGAAGTTTGTTAAAGGCCCACTGCACTACTGGTAGCTACTTGCGCCCTCTATATAACAAACAATGCCTAATCGGTGACCATTAGTCCCCCATGATCCTCTTTTTCTTATGTTAACTGAGAGCTGAGTTGATGAGATAACCACCTGTCCAGTGACCTTGCAGAGCGGTCTAATCCCTCCTGTAAACTACGGCAGATAAGCTTTAAACGAATTATATTGTTTCTATTTTTGCAATATGATTTCATACTGCGACCAACTTACAAACGGTGATTAACCAGTCTTCGACAAATTTGATATGTATTACTTGAGAGGGCAGCATGCAAGATCGGAAAATAAAAAGACACACTGTCAGCCCAGGGCTTATGTGTGAATCCTTTGTTACAAAAATATCCTAATAATAATCATTTCCCCCTCATTGTTCAATGTCACTTATCGTCAATAACGGAAATAAAATATATAGATTAATGACTCTTCTTTCATACAGGCTGTACTCGCGCAAGGCGTAAAAAATGGTGTAGTTAAAATAGCATTGCCCTTTTCTCACTTTTTTTTTTTTTTACTTTTGTTTATTTAGGCCGTTTTCTCTCTTCCTCTTGAAGAGGTGGGCATATATTTGACCTTCTTTTCATATTTGTCTTTGACTGACATTATGTCAAATAGTGAGGAAATTCCTATATTTGTATGTATTTGCGTAAAAAGTGAATACTTCCATTTATACTTTAATATCGGGAGATAGCCAAAGCCGAAAATAAATTTGCTTTTCCATTTTTAGATCGTCATTATTTCGGGTGATATTTATCGCACAACTGTATTATGAGGTGAGATCCATGTAGTTGGCCTTCAGAACTCTGTGAAGGAAATAGTTGATAAACGCCACTTCAGTTATTAGTATAGCAACCATTTTTCATTGCATTTCATTTCCATTTCATTCGAAGTGGTCGTTTTTTTTAACGACTTAACACGCTTCATTTATTTTATGAGACTGTTCGCAGAATTAAAGCTGAACAAAATCCTCTCGGACAAAATTTCCAAGTAGTAAATTGGACACATTATCAGACAGTTACACAAATCAGGATAATTTTACCCCACTATAACGTGCCCTATGCGAAATACTTCCCCGAAACTCAGACACAAACAGAAGCACAGAAACATAATCACGTACCGATGCGCTCACTCGTACACCCACCACCATACACCCACCCTCGTACACCTACCCTCGTACACCCACCCTCGTACACCCACCCTCGTACACCCACACTCGTAAACCCACACTAGTACACCCACCACCGTACACCCACCCTCGTACACCCACACTCGTACACCCATCCCCATACACCCACCCTCATACACCCACCCTCCTACACCAACCCTCATACACCCACCCTCATACACCCACCCTCATACACCCACCCTCGTACACCCACCCTCGTACAACCACCCTCGTACACCCACACTCGTAAACCCACACTAGTACACCCACCACCGTACACCCACCCTCGTACACCCACACTCGTACACCCATCCCCATACACCCACCCTCATACACCCACCCTCCTACACCAACCCTCATACACCCACCCTCATACACCCACCCTCGTACACCCACCCTCGTACACCCACCCTCGTACACCCACCCTCATACACCCACCATCATACACCCACCCTCGTACACCCACCCTCGTACACCCACCCTCATACACCCACCATCATACACCCACCATCATACACCCACCCTCGTACACCCACACTCGTACACCCACCCTCATACACGCAACCTCCTACACCAACCCTCATACACCCACCCTCATACACCCACCCTCATACACCCACCCTCATACACCCACCCTCATACACCCACCCTCATACACCCACCCTCATACACCCACCCTCGTACAACCACCCTCGTACACCCACACTCGTACACCCACCCTCATACACCCACCCTCATACACCCACCCTCGTACAACCACCCTCGTACACCCACACTCGTACACCCACCCTCATACACGCAACCTCCTACACCAACCCTCATATACCCACCCTCATACACCCACCCTCGTACACCCACCCTCATACACCCACCATCATACACCCACCCTCGTACACCCACCCTCATACACGCAACCTCCTACACCAACCCTCATACCCCACCCTCATACACCCACCCTCATACACCCACCCTCGTACAACCACCCTCGTACAACCACCCTCATACACCCACCCTCATACACGCACCCTCATACACCCACCCTCATACCAACACACCCACGCACCCTTAAGCCCGGTGCATACTACACGAATTGACTAGAATCCGATTTTTGAAATCTAAATTGCAAGGGATAACATGCTTCATCTGAGGGGGAGGAGGGAGAGGGGGAGGAGGGAGAGGGGGAGGGAGAGGGGGAGGGGGGAGGGGGAGGGGAGAGGGGGAGGGGGAGGGGAGAGGGAGGGGGAGTGGTGGAGGGGGAGGGGGAGATAAATCGGCTCAGAATCGTAGTGCCGTCAGACCAGCAGTGCGATTGTCTACGAACTCATTCACGCTCAATGTGGACCATCTTCACTCCCTGGGGAGTATTCTTACCATACGCTCACCATTAGGGCATATGGCAATTACTAACATAAAGGTTTATGGCATCCAACCAGGTCCCAATTCTGTCCGGGGTATGGAATGGTAAATGTAGATTAATGAATGCCAAAGGACATTAGTGCTGTGTCGGGGATCGAACCCATGACCTTTCATTTTCCAGTAAAGTGCTTAAACCACCCGACACTGACATCTCGACTACCACAACAGGCAGTACCTATATACCTCCTCTCCTATGACCTATTTACAGCATTTCACAACTTATTTTTCGAAAGATAAACCACGCTCACATTTTCTCACATTCCCCCTAAATCCATAATATTCATAATTTACTAAATTTCATAAATTCATGAAAGTACCAGACATTGAACACTGGAAGCTGTAAAATCAAAAAGAAATATAGCTCATGTTATGCATATTTTAATCACATTTGTGAGATAGGAAACTTATGGTGGTTATTCTATTCTGAGATAGAATGACATGTACATTTCTGAAACAGTTTTCTAGCATGTAGATTAAAATAAACATGATTGAAGTTTAAATGGAAAATAAAATGCAGGCTGATTATTTAAACAAATGTTATTGAAAATAAATATACCTCTGTATAAGTCTGAAATAAACAATACGCAAAAGCTTTTAAACATGATTACGTCACACCCATTAATTCAAAATTACTTTGGATACACTGAAATTGACAAGATTTAATCTCGGTCACCTTGAAATATTACAGACATCATGATGATTCAATAATTTACAAACAATTTTGAGATTATTGAAATATGGTTGATTTCTTTCAAATAAATGCCTTGTTCTGGGGCCGTTATAAAGGTATTATGTCCCATTTGCAGCCAACATCAAATTATGTAGAGGTTTGCATGCCATGTATGTCCTTTCTATGAAATTTAAACGTTAGTAACGTCCTAATATTTAAATTATGCAAGGAAGCCCGTTTACTTTCTAGACACTAGAAGACAGACACTATCGAGTGACTGACGGACTTTTTTCTTCTTTGGTAATAACATACATGAAATGAGCTGTTAAGGGTACATGAGCAGTGGCGTACCTGGGGTACTCCGTCAGGGGGGGCAAGCGACCGAAACAAACAAAAAAGGCGATGCTAATTTTCACTTCTGGCGAGCCGGCGAGCGAGCGAGCAAAAAAAATCTTTAAGTAACGTTTGGTATATAAACTGGTATTGTTGCAAGTTGGGGGTGGGAACATTCACTTGTTAGCAACGTTAATTTCATTTTTTTGCAAACTAGTGTAGCGAGCAAGAAAAAAATCACTTCTTTTTTAATAATTGCCACTTAAACTTGGTTCAATTGTCCCATGCAGGGCGCGGGAACAATATTGTGTTTAGGGTGATTGTTGCAGGTAGGGGGCGGGCACACTCGTGTTTAAGGCAATGTCAATCCCATTTTGGCGGGCAGGCAACCCCCTACATTTCTCTTTTTAATGATATTGTAGCAGGTTAGTGGTGGGCACATAATTCCACGAGCTAGCGAGCGTAGCGAGCGAAAAAAAAAAATCACTTTTCTTTTATAGGGAAAATATGGTACATAAAACTTGGGTTCATTGTTCCATGTCAGGGTCGTGATTATTAAAAGCGGTGTTAATTCTATTTTGGCGAGCGAGCGTAGCGAGCGAGCAAAAAAAAATCACTTCTCTTTATAGGGAAAATATGGTATATAAACTTGGTTTAATTGTTCCATGTCAGGGACGTGATTATTAAAAGCGGTGTTATTTCTATTTTGGCGAGCGAGCGTAGCGAGCGAGCAAAATCTTTGTAATGATAATTGGTTCATAAATTTCAGATTTTTTTGTTGCAGGGCAGGGCTTACACAATCATGTCTAAGGTGATGTTAATTCCCTTTTGGCGAGCACGAGCACACCAAAACTTATTTGAATAACGTTTCGTACATAATTATTAACTGGTTGTTGCAGGTTGGGGCGGGCACGTTAGCGGTGTCAATTCCATTTTGGCAAGCGAGCATAGCGAGCAAGCAAAAAAAATAAATTCTCTTTTAATAGAAATTAATAAATAAACTTGTTTTTATTGGTGCAGGTCAGGATGGACGCAATCGCGTTTAACGCGATTCAATTCCTTTTTGGCGAGAGGGCGAAAAAACTCTTCCATTTTTAATGATATTGTTGCAGGTCAAGGGTGGGCACAATTGTTTCCAAAGCAATGTCTATTCATTTTATTCGCGAGCGAGTGTAGCGAGCTAAAAAAAAATGAATTAGTCTCTTTTAGTAACATTTGGTACATATATTGTGTTTTATTGTTGCCATGGTTGCAGGTCGGGGCCCGTCGGGGCAGGCACAATTGTATTCTAGGCAATACTAATCCTTTTCTCTTTTCAGGGGGACGAGGAAGTGAAAACATTTAATACAAAATAGGCTAGCAAGCAGTTCGCGCCAGCGAAGAGTTTCAAATTTGTTATATCACTTATATTTTCCTATTTTCATTTGTTTTAATTTTTCAGGGCCGTATGCTAAATATTTTTCTGATGGGGGAAGGGGGAAAGATGCGTTAAAAGTTTTCGAAGAATCTCAAAAGCAAAAGGAGTGAAGGGAGTTCGAGCGACCGAACTGATCATGAGGGTACTTTTGCATTTTCAAAAGTAGAATTGAAGGATTTGGTATAGGCCTACACTACATTTTCAGGAAAAAAACTGTACGATTTCAAAATATCTGGGGTCAACTGCCCCCCCCCCCCCTCTGGTGCTTACGGCCATGTTCTTTATTTTTTTCCCCCATTTTTATTCCTTTCCTTTTCTTTTCCCTTTTTCTTCCTTTTCTCTTCTTCTTCCTTTTTTCTTTCCTTTTTTTCCTTTCCTTTTTTTCCTTTTTTCTCTTTCTTTCCTTTTTTCTTTCCTTTTCCTTTTTTCTTTTTCTCTCCTTTCCCTTTCTTTTCTTTTCTTTCCCCTTTTTCTTTTTTTCCCCTGGAGCCCGTCAGGGGGGGCACTCTGCCCCCCTGCCCCCCCCATAGGTACGCCACTGTTATAACATGAGCATTTGTCTACATCAATAACCCAATTCTTGTAATGTCCAAAATTAAAGTGATCGAATCTTTGCGCAGCACAAAACGTACGACCATTCGGTACAAGGGTCTAAAAATCAGACTATTACTTGAGTGATTGCAATCACGAAAGTCGATTAGAAAACTAATGGTCGTTAGTTTCCAACTTACAGACATTTTAAGCCCTTTCGTTTTGAGGGAAGTTCTAAATTAGTATTATCTTTCAAATGCCGTTGGAATTTAACCTTTTCCTTTTTGTTTGGCCTGCAAATGGGACATAGTACCTTTAAGTATTGATCCCTATTGCTCTGAAAAATCCCCAAACTAGCATGTGTAATGGTTGCTGAATTATTCCAAAAGTAATGCGTGAAGTATGAATAGAATTGTGATGTATGTTGGTAAAGTAGGGTGTGTGTTTGTGTGGTTAAGTTTAGAAGGTTTCTTATAACGAAAGAGCGCCGACATTAAAATCTTTTTTTATATCGTTCTACACTTTTATAGTGATCAGTGATAACCACTGCAATACAAAAAAAATTAGTATGTATATATATATATAATTCAAGATAAATGAACGAATTCTATTACACACATTCAATAATGCTTGTACATTTGCCCCCCCTTCAGAATAAAAACAACATTTATTTTACACCTTCAGCAAACATCGGGCGAAACAATCTGCGCAGTCCGTACCTGTGTCGCAGGGCATCAAAGCTACGATGGAGCCCTCTCCGCCGTCTTCACATATTTGGTTTTTTCGGCTGGGACACACGTCAGTGCACATGATCTCTATTGAAGGTAATGAAAACAGATATCATTCTTAGAACGGTTTTGTGCCAACTCCAGCCATTTCCAATTAAGTACCGTGTATAACCAAAAAAAAAAAAAAAAAAACACGGGGAAAAAACACAGAACAAACCCCCCAAAATATTATATCCTCTGATTATCTGACATGTTATATTTTAATTTATCTTTTTCCATATTAGAGCCATACAAATAAAAATATTCCACGTTTATATAGCGTTTACTACGTCGTCGATGGCTTCAAGTAGCCACACGAAGAATCAAAAGTGTTTTGAATTGATGCAAAACTCATATTATTGCGAAGGGGAAGCCTTGCAACAACTCCCAACAACTCCCAACAACTCTCCTCTTCAAAATATGTTTGGGGCCCGCAGTAATCAACTCTCAAAAATGTTAGTTTTGAGATCCAGATTTTCTCCCTTCAGCGGTCCTTTGTAGAGCGTCAATATTTGTGACGTCACATACGGGACACGGCTGGCTAGCTGCATACTGCTACACGTCATTGAGCTGTTCGTCCAGTGTGTAACGTCACAATTCAGAGCTCGCTACGCTTGTGTGTTTGACTTACGTTCAGGGGCGTTCGGGGGTCTAAGGAGGGTCTTGAAAAACTACATTTTACGCCTTTTCATGATATCTATATGATTTCTCAGCAAATTGTTCGTGTTTTTCAAGAGTAAATCTTTCCATCCATATGTAATTTGTTCTAATTATTAGTTGTTAGTGAATTTTCTTTGTGTAGCTCCTTTAAACGTCGACGATTGTGAATAAGCTTTACATATATATTAGTTATACCCCGGTCATTGGATTCGGGTTTGCCCGAACACAATATTTGCACTTTCTCCACTCCCATCTAGGCGCCATTTTACAGACGCTCACAATGCTGAGCAACCTACGTTAACCCATTCACGGTGGAGAGTGGCACATGTTGATTAACATCTTGCCAAAGGTCGTCAGTTCCGGGCTAAGCATTGAACCCCGAACCTTGAGATCTAAAGTCCTTTGACTTTATCACTAGACCAGAAAACCTCTACAAAATAGCCTTAGTATGAAACACAGTATTGGCGAGTTTCAACGGTTACGTGTTGTATTGGGAGATAGCGACATAGCAGAAATGGCAGGCAGTTTGTTTGAATTGATAAAGTTAGACTACGTGCAATGCCTAAGTATGTCAACCTTTGTCAATATGATATAGGAAATAAAGATGTGACAATATGATCATAAAATGGTTTTAGGAAACCAGTTACTTAATATTGCAACATCTAAAGCCCAAAAATCTATTCAAGATATGAACGTATGGCTTACAAATATTTAGAAAAACTACTGAATTAGAAATTTACTTACATGGCCAGTCGTATCTATATAAGTCGATGTTATCATATAAGACTTCACCAAGAAGAGAAGAGAAGGGGATAGAAGATTCCATGGGCCTTAATAATATAGATGGACTTGCATTCAATCGGTAAAATATCTCCAATATTTCTGCATTGACTCGTATCCTAACATTAAATTATATCTGTAACATGGAATTAATCGTAAGTTACTATTTATTTTAAAGTTGCGATTGACTAAAGGAGATACGGTTAATTTAAAAGGGATACGATTAATTTGAAGGAGATACGATTAATTTGAAGGAGATACGATTAATTTGAAGGGGATACGATTAATTTGAAGGAGATACGATTAATTTGAAAGAGATACGATTAATTTGAAGGGGATACGATTAATTTGAAGGGGATACGATTAATGTAAAAGCCAGGGATACGATTATTTAAAAGGGATACGATTAATTTGAAAGAGATACGATTAATTGGAAGGAGGTACGATTAATTGGAAGGAGATACGATTAATTGGAAGGAGATACGATTAATTGGAAGGAGATACGATTAATTGGAAGGAGATACGATTAATTGGAAGGAGATGCGATTAATTGGAAGGTGAGACAACTAATCGTAACTTTTCATGCTATATGGCCTTTTACTACAGAATTCTGTAAATTACCTTTAGTGACCGTGTTACATATGGTACAAACGTCGCCTGTCCATTCATCTTTACAATCACATTCAAAGTCTATGGTAGCTGCGGTTCCTTCACCAATGCGCTTATTCGTACACACTCCTCCATGGTGACACGGGCTTGAGCTGAAAAGGAGAACGAAATTTTTTAATGGATTTAAATGATAGCAATGTTGATAATTAATGTTAGATTTACATAATGCATTATGATAAGTAGTACACAAACGCACTGAGAATTATTATGTCATCACCCTTGGTCTCTAAACAGCAAGCCTGCAAAAAAAAGTGTGCGCAATCCCCCCTCCCCGGAGGAGAATTGTAGGCCTACCCAACTAATGTATGCTTATATTCAACACGTTCCGACTACTAAATATCTATTTAGCTAGTTACGAGCGGTAAATGAGGAAATTTGTCACTAGGTCTTATGCTAGATGAGGCAATGACATTTGAACTTCTCTTTATATATAATGGGTAGCGCGACCTGTCATGTCATTTCAAAATACCTTTTGCAACAGACTGTCCTTAAAAAAAAAAATCGTTACCCTATACATGTATGTAACAAAAGGTGCCCTTGAATTTCAGAAATTTAGAAATTCCCTCGAAACAAAAGGGTTTGAAAATGGCTTTTTGTCGGAAAATAACGACCACTAGTTGTCGAATCGACATGAGTGATTGCAATCACCTAAGCCATAGTCTGATTTTCTGACCCTTGTACCGAATGGTCGTACGTTTTGTGCTACTCAAAGATTCAATCAGTTTAATTTTGGCCATTACAAGTCATGTAGTGGGTTATTGATGTAGACAAATGCTCATGTACATGTTCCTGCTCATTTTATGAATGTTGTTACCAACGAAAAAAACATGCCAGTCAGTCAGTCACTCGATAGTATCTGACAGGGAAGTCTAGCAAGTAAACGGGTTTCCTTGCATTATATAAACACTAGGACACCGCTAACGTTTAAATTTCACAGATAGGACATACATGACAATTCCTGCAAAGTTCTACAGAATTTGATATTGGCTGCAAATTAGACATGGTATCACTATGAATATGACAGACAAAGAAAGCGGACAAAATATACAGTTCCTCTGGTAGATAAAGGAACATCCCTTCACTGCTATTATGTAAAAAGGTGAATATGCATGTGACACCTGTTCTACACATTTTTACATAATAGCAGTGAAGGGATGTTCCTTTCTCTACCTGAGGAACTGTATATTTTGTCCGCTCTCTTTGTCAGTCATGTTCATAGTGTATCTTTAACTCTTCGTCAATGTGCAAACCTCCAAGTCAATCTCAAGCACTATGAGCTTCAATTCAGCTTTTCAATCTCAATCACTATGAGCTTTAGCTTTTTGAGTTATCAACCATTGAAAGTTTCATGTGTTCACAACTAGTACAGTACTTCATTTTATACCTGCATGCACATTCTCTGAACGGTGGTGGAGGGGCCGGAGTATGTGTCTTGGTCAGAAGAGCCGAATGAACGGTCTGTCCCTGGACTTCGTCGACCCCGCCGCCGATCAGGAGCAGAAATATGCCGACCACGATGCCGACGTTGACAAAACTAGCCATACTGGAATCTCTCGTTGTGGTGTGGCGTCTTGAATAAAAGTAAATTTAAATGGAAAAAAAAATGAATGAATTGCATAACTCCATGAAACAGCGAATTAAATGGCCCTCTCATCTCCTTTTCTCTCCCTTTCTTTCTCTCTGTCTGTCTGTCTGTCTTCCTCTCTCCCTCGCATTGACTTCCTCTTCCTTCATCCCTCTCTACCATTTGCTTTGACAAAATTTGAAAATAAATATGCAAATCTTCCGAGTGTACTCTACACAAGCTCTTGTGTTTACGGGATCTCTGTCACAAATTAAATTTATAAGATTAACTCATTCACTATTCAACACGTATCGGGTTTTACTTGAAAATCTAAAGTTGAACACGTAAGCTTAGTCGAGAATCTAGTTACAGTAGCCATCAGATGTGTCTCTCACTTTCACACTTTAATAGAAAGACCTACAGCAATAAAAACGACATCACGTCTTAAGAAAGAAACAAAAGCACACACAAAATCCAACGAACAACATCAATAATTAAAAACCAGATAGGAAATTATGTTAAAATTACGTATTTATGTGAAGACAGTCACTTACCCAACTGAAAGCTCTTCCAAAATGACGAGAGACCGTTTACTTCAAATGAAATTATCAATGTCCTTTTTATCTTTCGCGGCTGTTTTCCAGAGAGATGATTCTCAAATGATGATGTGGCATTAAATAAGAACTTTACTAATGTGTTCAAATAGGCTATGTTCACGATGTACCCAAATTTAATGCATACGTCTTTGCGAAGTGCCTCGAAACAAACTATTTCATGTACCTGATAAGAATAATAGTATCACAATAGACAGAATCCGAACTGCATACATAATTGTTGCCAGGTAGGACAAACATTATGGCTTGTCCTACCTAGCACCACTTAATATATGCATTTATATTCTGACTATTGGAATACTATTATTCTTATCAGGTGAATAAAATAATTTGTATTGGGGCACTTCACAAAGACTTGTATTACATTTGGTTACATTACGAAAATGGCCTATTGATGGAAGTTTTTTCAACAAACTGCATACTTGTGACGAACGAACAGGTGTTTACTATTAAAATGTATTTCAATTTATGCATGTTTCTCTCAAGACTCTCATGAAACCTTGGCCACTGGCTATATCATGATTCACCTGCTATATGCAAAATGGCATCTCTGTGGATAGAATTCACTTTGTATACATTAGGCCAAATAAAAAAAAAACATGTTTAGCGTCCTGTTTTTTCGAAAAATAGGAAGGAGGAGGCCCTTTTTATTTTTTATTTTTTATTTCAAAATGGCCGCTCAAAATGGCCGCTCGGTACATTTTCCCTGACAGTCGAGGCTATTTTTTTTCAAGATGGCCGCCGACAATTTAAAAAAAAAAAATCAGAAATAGAGCCATTTTAGCAGTGTTTTTCATGTTTTTTTTTCTTTAAAAAAAAAAATAAATAAATAAAAAAAAAAAAAAAAAAAAAAAAAAAATAAAATAAAATAAAAAATTTCAAAAAAATAAAATAAAATAGGAGGCGGCCCCCAAAAAGGAAGCGGGCGGGGACGCTAAACATGTTTATTTTTTTAATGGCCTTAGTTGTTGATAAGTCGAACAAGCCTTTGGCAAGACAGTTGTCAAGAGACATTTTGTTTCTCAAAAGTATACATAAAATTAGTAAAAATGCTTGCATTAATTGAATACACCTTGTAGACCATTTGTTCAAAACAGGTGCGGTTTTCTTTGGCAACCGTTTAACGAACTAAACGTAATCCACCTGTGACATATCATTTCAATGGGCAGAATGCAGACTGAATATATCGGCGATTGTATAGGTACGCGCCATCTTGCCATCCACCAACCCCCCCCCCCCCCCCCCCCCTTCTCGAGAAAACTATCCAGGTTGTGTTTGTCTTTTTAGTTACACCTCAATTTAAATCAAATACACCGCCGAACCTTCTTCAAACCAACCGATGTTTGGTCATTCGGGTTAGATCGGTCTGTTGTCGGTTCCGTTGGTGTGACCAGGGGCTATAGTCAAGAGATTTGTTTAAAAAAAGAGAGAAGTGCGATTAAATCATCATTATGACACGCGCGCAAGCAAGGAAAAGAAAGAAAAAAAAAAAAAAAGAGCCAACTGCTAGGAGGTAGGTGGGGTTCGGGTCATGATTTATAAAAGAAAATGGTGACACATAACAACAACAACAACAATATTCTTTTAAGGTGCCAATGGGGTCAAAATAAATGTGCCGATGGTGAACCCCTCCCCCATTAATTCCCCCTTGCAAATTATTCCGCATTACAATATATTTATTTGAAACATGCTGATGTGTGCGTGGTTCCATCAATGAGATTTTGAATAGGGGGGGGGGGGGTATTACAAGAACAGGCTAACTTTTCTTTCCCTATAAAAATAGATTATAAGACTCAACTGAAGGCCAAATAACGTTAGTCCGTCGTCAGTCATTGTAACATAACTGTCATAAGCACTGTATCCAATATTCTCCTCGGGTATTAAAAAAACAAACATTCGTTAGTATATCGCCGGATGATGTACTGATTATTCCAAATTGTCATCTTTCTTCATTTGCATATTCTTAATTTGTTGATCAAAACGTTAATTTGTTATCAATAAGTGTCATATTTCTACAACAAAAGTCATTGATCTCAGCCAATCATATGCAACGATCAGTAGCTTATAACAGTTATTGCAACTTGGATTTGATAACCAGTCTTGCAGGAAACTAGAAAAACATAAAATAAAAATAGGCCCACAATTTAACCCTATAGCTACCACCAGAATGATATTTAAACGAATAGGCCTAGAATAGGAAATGAATGCCATGTACAAGAATAACACCAATATGATTAATTCAATGAAATTCCATATTCGGTATACGATCGGTCGAAAAGACTCTCGAGAATTGTAATACATATCTCATAAAACAGGCTCCGATTACGTAACACGTCAATGTAATGATTGTTTAATAGGCTAAGCCTATTTTAGTAATGTTTCCAAATGTATTGCATACGTCTTTGTGAAGTGCCTCGATCGTTTTCATATAAGAATAATAGTATTCAATAGACAGAATCTGAACTGCATACACGTTGTGTTAGGTTGGAATTGACATTATGGATTGCCCTACCTACAGCAACACTTAATTTATGCAGTTTGAATTCTGACAATTGAAATACGATTATTCTTATCAGAATGAAATAATTTGTATTAAATGAAGCACTTCACAAAGTCTTTTGTATTGAATTTGGTTACATTATATGAAAATGGCTTGTATTGAACTTTGAAAATAATTAGGTTGATGTTAGAAAGTCTTAATTATTATATTTTGTTCTAACTCATCATTTTTCGTCAATAATTTATGAGTATAGCTGCGTCGGAGGCTATACGCGTATAGCAGAATATATTTGTTTTGCAAACGCTGAATGGCAAAGACAAATTAAGTGGAATCAAATGTTGAACAATAAAATGAAATATCATATAATTATGACAATAATTTGTCTTTGGCAGTTAATCGGTTTGAATTAAATCTAAATTGTCCTCAAATCAAACTAAACAAAAGCGCGATACGTAAATATTCATAAATGAATGATACACGCCAGTAAAAACTAAAACAACAACAACAACAACAACATAAAATATTACGCCTGGCCTTACATGTCCTTTTGCTTGCAAAAATCAGCTGGTTGTTTACCCTTTAATAGATCTGAGCATGCGCAGTAGCTTTGTTTTGCCTTTTCTAGAGAAATAATAGGTTGACCGACAATACAACATGTACACTGTACGCTATCTCGAACTGTCAAAGGTCGTATGCGTCTGAGAAATAAGCTTGTTTCTAAGGAATTGTGTAAGTATTATGTGGGAAAGATTCTGTTTGTGAAGTGATAACGAATGAGAAATTGTATGCAGTTTTGATGTGCTGTTATTCTGCTTTTGACAAGTTATTTACTGTCTGTGATTAGCTGTGGGTAAGGGACTGGACTGGATCGAGTTCATCTTTGAGAGTGAGTGGCAAATGTACGTGTGTGGATAGTGCCCAGCTAGCACAGCAGCTGACTACCGTAGATTGAGTGTAATGCATATCGTGTACTGTAGATATTGTTTAGTGTAGACTGTCTTATCTTGTGTTACCAGTATCTCTTTGGTCAGGTGTTACTGACTGGTACTACTAATGTACGCACTTTATATGATGTCTGTATTTGACGTAGACATAAATAACCTTCTGGTATGGAGAATTCTTTTGATGAGTGATATAGACTATGTGTCATCCTTTCCCATCCCATGCAGTCCCATAGGACAGGGGTCGCAGACTCTCAGTCAAAACTAAATAAATACTGTAAGTGTAAAAGTCACTAAGTGTATAAAGAATGCGCTGCATGACCAAGAAAATGCTTAAGGTACATAAAGGGATGTTTTTTTTATAGATTGGACGCGGTCTGCACTGTGCCTAGCCTATAATCTAGGCGGAGTGCCGAGCTTTTTTCTTTGCTGCTAGACTGACCTTAAGCAGAACGTTGTTGTAATATGTTATATGACTCGGTGAAATGATAGAGTCTGGCAGACGATGTAGTAACTGATTAGTAGCCATATTGTAAGACCATTTATTTATGTATCCTTCCGCCTAGCTCGGCGTGGTATTTACATATCATATCTCATGTTAATGTAGTTCCAAGTGGACATACAACATCTCCCTCACAATAGATTTTTTTTTTTAAATGAATAACGAAGAAAAGTTATAACAGTTAATCATAAAACCTCTTGAAACTCCAAACACCTGCAAGCAAACATTTTGCAAATACCAATACCTTAAAAATACTTTAACATATGCCCGACTGATTGCCAAGTAACAATTAAGGAATATGTTTATGATTCATAAGAACCAAAATTCGCGACCTTACTTTAGATCCATAAAGTAGTCCTTTTTTTGAGAGATTATTACGTGGAATACCTAAAACCAAATGATAAAAAATAAAACTATGCGGTTACATATACATCAGCAAACACATGCCTATACAGTTTTTTTTCTTCTTTCCAACTTCTTATTTGCTAATCCAAACTTGGCCATTTAGAAGTAAATTGTACTTACATATATTTACAACCAAAATACTGTAATACTAGTTTGTAAGCAAAACATTGTTTAAAATTTGCTCATACAAAGAACTTTGCTGGGCAGAGCTACTGAACAACTCTATGGAAACTTTAAAACATACATTCAACTTTGTTCTCATATTCTTAAAATATTTATAATAACTCAACACAAAACACTGTATTCAAGAAAGTTATGTTGCTTGATTATCTAACATAAAGATACCATTGGGCACATTTCTTTACATTAGCATCATTGTATGCTATTTCTCTCTTCTCCTTTTCTTTTTTTTTTGTTTTGTTGTTGTTGTTGCTATGAATAAGTAAAAAAATTTTTTGGTTATTATCCAATATACATGAAGTGTCTTTTTGTGAGATTCTAATTATAAACTGGAACCTTTGTTCAATCTATATAGTCTGTCACTTTTTGTGTTTTAATTCTTCTTTCAAATTGTTTTTGGTAGTGTTTAACGATAACGGACAGGTTTATTACTAATGCGTCCAGAACGTGTTCTGTAAGGGTCTGTCTCGGATCCTGTCTGGTGGTCTAGTGACTGGTCATGGTCAAGTCCGTCTGCAATTTTTTTGTTCATTGGGGTAGGTGTGTTAGCTAGGCGCGCATCTTTAGTTGGCT